AAAACAAAATCTCCACAAAGGAAATTGTCACATCAAATGACTTCAGAGTATATCCCCCAGGAGAACGTGGCTAGACTCCAAATGGAAATGTGAGGAAACAAGATACAATTTGAGACAAAATTCTGAAAAATTACAGGCTATGACTAAATGTGAAGTTTTAAGGTGATAAAAGACCCTCTACCTTCGTAAGCATATTACAGATTCTGAATATTCTGAGATCCAATGTGCTCTTCAAAATGTTTTTATCTAAGTGACACAAAATTTGGAGGTTTGTCTGACCAGGTAAACTTAACACACACAATTTAAAAATTATCATGGGCTGGGGAGATAGCTCAGTAGAATAAGCACTTGCCTGGTAAGCACAGGGTCCTGAGTTCAATCCTCAATACCACACACACACACAAATTATCATCAACCAATGTGCCGTGCCAGCCCCGCCCCAGAGGCACCCTGAGACTGTGACTCAGACTGAGCATGGTGGCACACACCTATAATCTCAGTACTTGTGAGGCTAAAAACAGGAGAATCAGTACAAGTCCAATCTGTATAGTAAGATCCTGTAGACCCTCTACTAAATGCAAAAATAAATAAATAAAATAGAAAAATAAAAATCATCATCAAGCATTTTGTTACGTAACCATTGCAATGATGAAAATTGGTTTTCTACTTCCATAAAACAATACGATCAGCCTGGCGAAGGAGGGAGGAAAAGAAAACAGACTCCAACTTGGCTTAGAAACAGGGGACCATGAGAGGAAATGCCCATCACCCTTCCCTATCGACCTCTGGGTTTTCCTGAAGAAGTTATCCCTTTAACAAGCCAAGTGATTTCTAGGATGTGTTCAGGCCAAATAGGCCATTTGCAGGGAGATGATTACATTTAAGGCTAACATTACAGACAGAGATGATAGTAATACGAGCACTAAAGACAGCAATAATACCTGACAAATACCTAATAAACATATTGATCTCAAGTCCTAGCATATACTGCTCGGCTCTGGAGCTGAGCTGCACAAGAGAAAAATCCAAGTTTGCAGGAAGGTAAACAGCTGGTATTCAAATTGAAACTTAAGGTGCTTCTCACAATTGCTAAATACATACAGCTTGGGCTGAAATAAGATTCATCCGGATCTAGATGATATGCTAGACTTTTCAAAAATCTATAGTTGGTAATATGATTAGTTTAGAAGTAGGGCGTGGAGTGAAGCTCCCTGGCCTTCTATACCGGCTTTTCCCCATTGTTTGTGTGGCTCAAGGCAAGCTGTTCTTGGCACGCACGCCCAGCTGGTAACAGCACCTGTGCTCACAGCACCATCTGCAGGAGACCCCAGAAGATGCAGGGAGTGGCACCAGGGCCAGGGCAGGTGCTCAGCTCATGGGGTGGGGGTGGGGGGGCAATGTCGTAGTGGTGGTAGCTGAAGGACACCTGGCATCAGCCCCGCCTTCTCAGGGCTTGTGACCAGCACAGCTCCTCTCCGGACATGCAACGCTTATTAGAAGAAGCTTCCAGGTGGCTATAAATCACTGCTCATGTTCTCTCTTTGACACGCAGGTGCCCATGGGTCTCAGGGTTTTCTGTCATAACTCAAGTTTTTTTTTAGGATAAAAGTAATTATTAGTCACAATATTGATGTCAACATGGAAAGGGAATTTTCCCTCTGAGTTACCATTTCAATCTCAAATCCGTCTTCAGGAAAGGAGGGCCCCTGTGGGCAGAAATCATATGGTCGGGACACTGAAACGCAACTACAGATTGAAGCAGAAATAAAAGGATTTTTCTCACTGTTGATCTAAATAATGATTTTTCTAAGAAAAATTCATAATATCCTTGTCCTGTAAACTGTAGGCATATAGCCTTTATTTTTCTTGATATTTCCAACTGGGTGCTCAAAAGCAAACATTTAATGTCTGAGTATTCCAGATGTGAGCTCTCTACCACCCCAACAAGCCATTCTTGACATAGCTATTAAAGTGGCCTTTTAACAGGGTAGAGTGGACCGCTCTGTTACCTTAACACTGTCCAGCGGCTCCCCGCGCACTGAGACTGCAGTACATGGTCCACAGGGAGCCTTTGTCCTGCGCCCCACTCCTCTCCTTAACAACCGCAGTCCCCTCCATTTCACCTCACATGCTCATGTCCTGCTCTGTCTCAACCATCAGCACACAGCTCAAGCCTCCTCCCCTTCGAAATGCCCACCCAGCCACCCCTTGAAAGCAGCCCAGTGCCCAGCACTGATGCCACACAATCAGTGCCCTGCATGCTTCGCTCTAGGGTACCTCACAGTATCTCAAGTTGTTTCATTTTTATTGTTTATTCTTTGTAGCTCATGAAAGGTCAGAATGCAGCTGTCTTGCTCAGAGTTATACTAATTTGCAGAGTTTCTCAATACATATTTGTGAAGGAAAAAATGAATTTGGTGTAACTATCTTTATTTGGCGATCACTTAAGTTTTCAAAACATGCTCATAATGAACACTTTTTATCCTTGATAAAATTTTTACATGTCTTTTAATCTGTTTAATTTTCCCCATTACCAGGCACCCACTCTGATTTACAAATTCACATAATTCTTTTATTTTTATTTTTTTAATGTATTTAGTACAGGGCATACAGGGTCTCACTATGTAGATGGGACTTGTAATGATTCTCCTGTTTTTAGCCTCCCAAGTGCTAGGATTACAGGTGTGTGCTACCACGCCCAGTCTCAATTATGTCTCAGCATGCCCCCGGAACAGGGCTGGCTGGGCACACCCGGGATCCAGCCCTGACTGCTGCTCTCTGCCTAAGCAGGTGCTTTAGTCTGCCGAGCTATCTGGCCAGCCCTAAATTCACATAATTGTTAACTACAGGTAAGTTGTGGGTTTTTTATGGGGGTGGGGGAATGACAGGTCTCACTACTGAGGTTCAGGTTGCCTCTAGCTCGCTATGTAGCCCAGGGTAGCTTCAGACTCATGGTGATCTCCTGCCTCAGCCTCCCATTTGCTGGGATACAGCTCTTGGGAGCCACCACTCTTGGCAATCGGAGCTAAGTTTTCTTGTAACATAGAAGATTGCTTCTGTTGTATGCGTGTGAAGTTTTCTTTAAAAACACTGATTAGAGATGTGTAGTGGTTCTTCCTAAATGCTTTTATGTATCTCTTAGTTCATATTAAACTAGAAAGCTATCTTGGAGAGCTATCTTATCATCACTTTCCTGACAGCTTTTTACAAAAGGCATGCAACATACTTAAAATGGCATGCTTACTCTAACATACGTCACAATGCTTCATTACAATTAGTCTCTCTATACATATGAATTTAAGATGGTAAAAGAAACTTTTACTTTCCCTGCTATTTTATTGGAATCTAAAATAAAAATATACCTAAATGGAATGGGTTAAACTAATACAGGAACAGATCAGAAGGGCACAACAAGATAGCTCAGTTGACTTAAGTGTCTGCTTAGGCAAGCGCAGGGACTTGGGGTCAATCCCAGGCACCACCTGCCATGTCAGTCCCACCCCAGGGACTGAGGTCACTGAGCCAGCCACTTAGACCTGGCATGGTGGCACATGCATGTAATGCCAGCACTAGGGAGACTGAAAACAGGAGGATCACTATGAGCCCAAGCTGTGTAGTGGGACTCTGTACCAAATTAAACAAAAAACTGTAATGAAGGAGGCAGTAGTATGTATGTGTGTATAAAGCTTGCATCCTTTCTTTCACATAAATTGCTTTTTCACCTATTATGCTGGGAATTCAGTGATGTTAATACAATATGCAAAAATCTATGCATTATTAAAGAACCGATGTACTAACTCATAACCAAGTGGTTTGCAGCTGCAAAGCTTACTTTGAAAATAAGCTGCTCTGTGCATTTCATTTGTATGCACTACATCCACTTTTTACTGTCTGTATTAATTTGGGGCATGGAAGGTAAACTATAGAAACAAACTTAACTTGCATATGATGTAATATAATTTCTGGAACTAATGTCTCCCTGGAACACTGATTGCAACATACCTGGAGTGACTTCAATTTTCAGACTACTAATATGGAGGCTGGATGATGGAATTTCAGAGCCAGCTTAATTCTGCCTAAACACAAGGTTCTTCTACACTGAAGAGCCACTTTATTTATAAAAAGATATTTCTCTTTTTACTGTACTTAGTAGACCAGAAGCCACAATGATGTCAATCAAATACACATTTATATAATGTCAATCAATTAAAGACAAAATTCTGACTAAATTTTTTTTAGGATGTCAAAACAAAGGATGAATATCATGCTGAAAAGTGGTGCTGAAAAGTGGTACTTAGTGAAAGTGGATACTGACAACTGAAGAACTTGCGGTCCATTCAAAGCAAAGTTCCTGAAGTGCTGGGCCGACCCCTGGCGTCCTTCAGCTGAAGTGAAATCACCACCATCAGCACTTGGAATATATCCATCCATTCTTGGAGCCCTTTGCCTTCATGAAAGTCAATCTAAAAGCCAGTGTTTGTCCAGAAAGGAAAAGATGATGAACCTAGCAGCAGACCTTGGCTGCAATACAGGTTGTCCTGCTAGCTGGTCCCTGCTGCCATCTAACCCCTTCCACGGCCAACTTAGGACTTGAGTGCTCATTAAGCACAATCTAATGAACATATCTTCTTCTCAGAGAAAAAAGGAAGAGCCAGACTAAGCTACCTTTTACTATTTCCCTTTAATAGTCTTAAGAGTGGAGAAGTTGTAAATCGATTAAAATACGAAAAATGCATCATAAAATTTATGAAAAGGATGAAGATTATTTACTATTATTTCTAAACATTTGAGTTGAGGAAAGCTTTAAATTCTCTAGAACAGAAATGGAATTTTAAAAAAATTAAAGGGTTATATTTGATAGTAAGTGACATAAAAACATGATACAAGTTAATACTGAGACAGAGAAAAGGGGGCACGAGAGAGGACATTGCTAATGCAATCAGCTCATTTACCTTATAAAATTAATGGCCTTAATTAGAGATAATGATTTCATAACTTACCTCTGCATACTTTAACTTCAGTGTTTTATGCATTTCTCGAAAACGACTGTAACGCCTGAATACAGTCCACGTCTCATCTAGGACAGTAATCTATTAACAAGGAAAGCAAAAATGAATAGACGTTAGAGGAAAGAGTAACAAAAAATTTAAAACATAATTTAAAAAATTAACTTAAAAGTGCTTTGCGTATAAAATCTCTGAAGAAATGAAAATAGTCTAGCTGCATAAATATAACTTAAAGGGATTGTACTCCATGAAATGTGTACTGTTGGCTCCCGAATCCTAAAAGCAGCAGATGCCCTTGTCAAGTGAGAGGCAGATAGTCACCTCTCAAACAGTGATAATGAAGTGTCCCTAAGCCCTTCACCTGGGCTTCAGGAAGAAAACACCACACAACAGCCTTCCTGGTATGGTGATGTGCCCACACAGGATGTGGGGTGCATGTCACCAGAGGTGACCAAGTGGACAGAAGAGGAAAAAATGAATAGGGGGATCAAAGGAAAAAGGAGAAGGAATAGGCAGGATAAAGAGAAGAAAAAGTGGGAAACAATCACACTGCACTCCCTGACTATTAGTGCAATATGCAGAGTATGAGCTGGGGTGGCAACAGCAACACAGCCAGACGGTGAGGATGAAGACGCAGTAGGCTGTGCAACAACGCCCGAAGCTGCATGGGCTCCTGGTGCAGAAACCGCTATCTCCTCTCTGCTCCTGTCTTCTGAGCTCCAGATTTATGGACCCAACTCGGAAGCAGATTCTTTGGATGTCACGTAGGAACTGCCCATTCAAGCTGGCTAAACATGGTACTTGATGTGTTCTCCCACCTCGATAGCCCACATCATTATCACTACCAACAGCCAAGCTCCACTGGGAGCGATGCCAAAGCCATCCCCTACTTTCCTTCTCTTAATGTCTGTAATCCTAGTAGCCACGGGTCCAGCTCCTTTTGCTCCCCAGGCATTTCTTTGAGCTCCACTGTTCCATCTTTGCCTTCCTCATCCTCTTATTCTAGGTCATTAGGTCTTACACACATTTTTCCAAAAGTTGCCTCGGTATCCAAGTCTGCATCTGCCCCTCTCCCCAGTGTTTTTCGTTTGTTTGTTTTTCTGTACAACTGTCAAGGGGCCTTTCTAATGTTCATATCTAATCATTCCAAGCCCTCCTGGAAGACCTCCAGAAGCTTCACTTTGATCTTGGAAAAAGGATATCCTATTTTTAATCTGGGCCTCACTGCCTGCGGGAGCCTCACCTCGAGGCCGACCCCCTTTGGACTTCTCCCTTCTGCATGCCCTGCACACACACCCTCCTACTACACAGCCTTTTCATGGGTCACACTGCTGTATGGGAAACCTTAAGCTGCAATTGGAGAAATGCCCTGGTAAACACAATAGTTCAGTCCGATTCTCCAGCTTGTAGGAGGGAAAAGCATCAGCGGAAAACCCTCGGCTGAAAGCTCTATGGGGAGTATCCCCTGGGTCATTCAACCCCCAAAGCTGCGAGTGAGTGATTTTGAAGTTATATAAGGATGCAGCCTTCTTATTTTCATCATTCCCATTTCATATTCATTTCTTACAATAACTTCTAAATTGTGACAGCTTTCTTATGAGTTTCTTGAAAAATATTTCCATAACAAAAAAGGAGCATATTTACTGAAAATTATTCAATGACCAAAAGTGCAGGGGCTCTGTGGCCACAGTCAGTTCTCAAGGCAAAAGCCGGGGGCTCCTGCCCAGTGCCCCTCATCGGACCCTGTGGAGGACCAGTAAGCAAGGCCAGTGCCACCCAGAGACCAGCCTCCTCGGGGCCAGAGCACAACAGTGCCCAGCCGCAGCAGGATGCCAACTAGCTGTCCAGGAGAGACCTGCAAGGAGAATGAGGCCACCAGGATGGCCCAGAAAGTTAAGGGAACCACAATGGTAACCTAGGGGTAGACACATGCAAAAGCTCACAGGTAGGGTGGCTCTCTCAAGATAGCACTGCACAGAGGAGCCCCAGCAGAAGCTGAGGCTTCATGCTATCCAGACTGATGTGCTTGGCTTGCAAACCTTCTCCCAAACTCTTACCAAGGCACCTACCTCATGGGCTCATGGTCAGTCCTCAGCAAAATACCTTAGATCCTCGTTCCCTGCAAGCAACAGCCCCTGGGGAAACTGGCTCCCCAGTGGCCCTCAGTGAGCAGCAACTGGAACATTTCCCATGCCCTTGACCACGGCTACTCATCTTCTGTCATCTGCCCTGAATGCCATCTTTATTCCTGTTCAGTGTTCTTAGTTAAGGGCAACCCCTCTAGAAAGACATCACAAGAGACAACTTTGTCTTCTCTTTATTGTATAAAAACTATTACCTCTATGGCACTATTCCTGTGAGCACTTAATTGGTCATTACTTGTCATCTCCATCTCTTATCTTGATCTTCCTTTCCCTTCCAGCTACCATTCGCTCCATGTGGCCATTCCTTCAAAACGAAATTCCTTTAAAAAGTTTATTGGTGATGTCATCAGTTTTCCCCTGTTAGCTTCTGAATCCACTCCGATCTCATCATCATCCCACCACAGTTACTCTTAACAAGATCATCTATAACCTCTATAGTGTTAAATCAACTGGCCAAGTCTTGGTCTTGAATTATTGGCCTTTGGGAAGAAGCTGACATGGTTGACAGTTCTCTTCTCCTTTCAACATCTTTTTGCCTGGCTTCTGTCCTTTCTTCTTACCCTACACTGCTGGGATTTCTCAGCCCCTGAACTCTAAGCATCAAGGGCTGAATCCTTGAACATTTTGTTTGCTACCTCTACTTTCAGTGATTTCATCTCCCCTTAAAGCTTACCCATCCATGCAGTGACTCTCCAGATATTGTTTTCTCTCCCCGAGTCTGGCCTTGTATATCCTGCTGCCTCCTTGGAGATCTAATATGCATCTCCCACTTAATATGGTACCTTTCTGAGATTAATATTACCCATACCTGACTCTTTTCTGTGTCAGTAAAGGACAATCAACTTCAAACTCCTCTTTTTCACACTTACCATTTATTCAGTCAGCAAATCCTTTCTGCTATACCTCCAGAATGTGCAAGTCTGGCTTCTTCTCACTAACTTCGTGGTTCACATTTTCAAGTACCATGTCTGCCTAGATTCTCTTCAGTGGCCTCCTTACTGATTTGTTTGCCTATACAGATACTTGCTCCTCTTCCCACAGATTCCTTTGTTGCTTAACACAGTGGCCAAAATGTGGATGTTACAAATTAATCAGATGAGGCCACTGCCAGGGCAGATTGCACACCTTCCCAAGGGGTCCTACTTCACTGGAGTACAAGTTCCAGTCCCTTCAATGACCTACATGGATCCTATATAGGATCCTCCTCCCTGGTTTCATTTCCAACCATTCTCCTCCCCATAGTCTGGATTCCTGGCTTCTGCACAACCTTTCAAACACATATATGACACAGTCGGGTATGAGAACTTCATAAGTGCTTTGTCCTCTTTTGGAAATGGTCACTGCTGGGTTCTCATGTGACTACTCCCCTGGCTTCAATCCTTGCTCAACGTCACTTTTTTAGTGATGCCATCCTATCTAAAACTGCATGGCTCTCATCCCCACTCGACACTGTTTTCTTCTCTTTCCTCAGTCATTCTGTTTCAATACTTACCATTTCCAAACATGGTCAAGGTTTATTAACACACCTTGTTTTTGTCTCTCTTCCCCTCTAGGATGCAAGTTCCAGGAGAGCCAGGCTTTGCATCTGTTTCTCTCTGTGCCTCAGGAAAGCGCAGCGGCACATCACGGGCATTCAGAGCGAACAGCTGGGAGAGCAAGCCCAAAATGGGCTTGTGTCAAACACACTCCATCTTTGTTAAAAATTTGTCTGGGCAGAAAGGACCTCAAACAAATCTAGAATAAGGTGAATTAGATACCCAGCTTGTGGAGCTTAAGTCTGGCTTCTTCTTCTTTGCTGCTTTCATAGCTCCTTGATGTTGAACCATATTTGAAATCTCTGATCAGCAAAATGCCACTGCAAGCCCACTGTACAATCTGGGGTGGCATTCTTCTCTCCCACAGTGGCCTTTATGAAAGATGCCCATTTCTCTAACAAACTGCATACCCTAAGTACTGGGAGGGCACAGTGCAGCTAAGTGATTTCCTAGACATTGGCATTAAGGCTTTTGGGCATCAGATAACAAGAGAGCAAGAAGATAATGAAATCATGTCTGGGTAACCCCCAAAGAATGTAACACACTGCTTCTGCTTTCTTGATATGTGACTGGGCTCACATAGGCAGGTGGCATTTTTATATGGCATGTGTGGGGAACTGGAGGAGATGGAGAAAGATGGCCCAACACAGCAGGGCCAACCCCACCCAAAGCTTTGTAATACACCTATCCCTTTCCATCAGGTCTAATGAGATCAGGTAAGGTAGCAGAGGAGTCTCTATGTATTACCCAGTGGCTCCAAGAGTCCTGTCACCATTAAAGACAGAAGGAACACTTGGAACCATTAACACTACAAATGTAATAAGTTCTCAAAAATGTTGATCAATGATCATTATGTGTGCAATCTAAGAGTAGTGACTTGCATGTTTCTGCCTCATATCTGGAGCTGTCGAAAGCCTCAAATACAGACCTTAAGGACTTCTGCCCTCAGTAGTTTGGTTTATGGTCTGAACCAGTGGTTCTCAGTGTGATGCCTGAGGAGCAGCACCTGCTTCCCTGAGACCTTGTGACACTGGCACATTCAGAAGCCTCACCCACAGCCATGCAATCACAAAAAGAGAAGCTGTGCAGCAATCTGGGTTCTCACAGGAACCTCAGAGGATTCTGCTGCAGGTTAAAGTCTGAGCAGCCTTGCTGTAAGCCCCTGGGAGCGCTGCTGCTCTACAATCAGATGCACTCACGAACCACCACCCTCCCCTCGCCAAAGCCCTTGAAGGCATTCAGAGTCTTTTTCAGGCCAGCTCAGTGCATGTGTAATGCCAGCAGCTGGGATATTAAAAATATCACATTCTAGACAGCTTGTCAGCACAGAAACATGGCCTATGTGTAGGCCTTCTGAGTGGCCTTCCAAGCCACACATCCTTTCCTGCAATTGGAGAGCCCCTGC